GCTGGGGCCACAAGCCAGGCTGGAGCCTCGCCCGGCCCGCAGCGATGCCAGCGATGCTGCAGGGAGCAGCTCCGCAAAGCTCGGGGAGAGGCTCAGCAAAGCTCGGGGAGAGGCTCAGCAAAGCTCGGGGAGAGGCTCAGCAAAGCTTGGGGAGAGGCTCAGCAAAGCTCGGGGAGCAGCTGCCTCCCGCAGGCCCCCCCAGGCCCCGCTGCCAAACGAGGGACCCAGCACCTCGTGCCTGCTCAGCTCGAGCTCCCTCAGAGCCGCAAGCCGCTCACCAGGAACAAAGCTGATTTTTAAAAGCCGAAGATAGGCATCAATGACTTTTTTTAGTTTTCTTTCAGCATCTTAAATCTCAACACTAGGTTTTTAACTGACATAGAACTCAAGGCAACTTCAGATAAGCTCACAATACGGTTTCTACTACAGAACATTTTAAAACTGTAAGTGATCGCAACGGAGGAGATACCAGAGCGGATCTTGGCTACCTTCGGATCCATAGCCCCGCTTGCCGCCCATGCCGGGGGCAAAGGAGAGCAGCACCAGCCCGGCCCTGCCGCTGCGGCACCCAGAGGGGACTGACAGGCGCCGGCCCCCGCAGAGAGCGGATCTGTGATAACTGCTTCAGGAGGTGCTGGGGTTTGGTCACTTTTTCCAGCTATATACCTATTTCTGTTTGTATGCCTGAGGAAGGTCTGAAAAGTAGATGCTGGGAGTGAGAGTAGTCCTGTGGGCAAGGGGGCTTGTGAATGAGGAAACCAGTGAGTGCCACAAGCCGTGAAAAAACTAGCAGCAATGAAAGAAATGGTCAGAAGAATGAGTCGAGTGCTAGGCTTCTCAAAACTGGCAAAATGCCATTCTTTTCCCCCGTTATGGGGTGGTTTTCATTACTTACTTGACAAAAATTATTTTGTAATATGCAAATGGAGCATCATTTTTTATTTAATCTAGACTGGAACAGCCATGCAGGTTTCATTCCGACTTGGACAGAACACCAGCACTGTGCAATATCAAGGACAGGAGTTTCACACGCCCTTTTATTCTGCTTGCTCAGTTTGTCGGGACACATTATCTGAACTTCAAAGCAGAAGGCGTCAAAGCAAAGGATCGGACTGCAGGATCGCACCCATCAGTCGCCCGCCTTCTGCTCTGCACGGGATCACTGTGCCAGGAACTCCCGATT